TGTCACGCAGTGTCAACTTAGTCTATTCAATGGGGGCTACTTGAAGGCCGGAGGGACAAAGCGTGTACACATTGCACCGCTATTCATTCCGGCCAGCTGGATCGGCTGAAAAAAAAACCTTGTGAAAAGAAACGCCTCACAATGGACACAGAAGAAGTGCACAATGCTAACAGTTTTCCAAATACCACTGATTGGTTTCTTCACAATGAGGAGAAAGCCGCCGCTTTTTCTTAGCTCCACTTCAACAAACAACACTCTCACAAAACCTCCCAACCCTGCGTTTTGTTCGCGGACAAAACCTCCTCGACTGTCTAAACGCTCCCACTGAAGGACAAAAAAAAAAAAGGAATTAAAAAAAAAAAGCTCTTTTCACTATCCCCCTCCCCGCCCCACTTTCCCCCTTGCAAGAGAATAAAAAGAAATGGATGGGGGTTGTCAGTGAATTAATAATATCAGTCTTTTAAAAGAAGAGGGCTGCCCTTTGCGATGCCCTGGGCTGAGGGAGGAAGGACGCGGGGGAGATTAATAAAGTTTGGACGGCGGCGCTGGCTCTGCCTGCACCGGGCAGTGGGCGCGGGAGAGACGCGGGCCCCCCGGGCGGGAGGGTTGCAGGGAACTCCGCTCGCCGGAGGGTGCGGCGGCGGCGGCGGCAGCGGCGGGGAGCGCCCGCTCCGGCCGAGCCGCTCTCTGATTGGCTGGCGCGGCGCTGGGAAGACGGTCCATGCTCTTCTCCATCTTCTGCGCCCCTCGCCGAGGCAGTCCCTGGCCGAGAGAGTGAGAAAGAGAGAGAGAGAGATCCGCGCTGTCTTGTTCCAATGTTGGAGGCGAGGGAGTTGGGAAGGGTCAAACGAAGGGACTCCAGGGCGCCCCGAAGCCGGGTCTCTCGAAAGGCCGGGTCCCCCAGCTCCGGGCCTCAGAGCTGGAGCAGAACAATCCCACCTGTTTGCGCAAAACTGAAAAGGCAACACGCCTGGCCCCCGGGGCGTGTGAGACTGGTGTAAAGCCCTTAGGCAACTGTGACTACCCAAGATATATCGTGGCTGTTTTTAAACCGTATAAAGAAGCGACAATGCAAGGAGAACAAGCAGTAGGAAGGGAAGGCAGAGGAAGGAAGGAGGTAGAGAGGGAGAGGGATGCATAGGTGGAGATAGATCTCGATCTGCAGCAGTTCTTGGCTAGGTCCCAGCGCTGTGTCTGTGGGCCACTGTCAGACTCTCAAACACACACCGGGCCCTCTCCACCTCCTCCGGTCCCGGGGTCGCTCCGCTTACGTCCGCACCGTCTAGCTTTCACCAGCCGCTTAAAAGGCCACTGCAGACGGAGGAGTGATAAACTGGCCACCCCCCGTGGGCCTGTGGACGTACTCAAACTGCCGCACAATCTGTTGGCTGTGTGACCCTGCGCGCTCACCCCAGGCATCCTTTCTCCCTCCTCCCCTTCCCTGTCTTTCTAGTCCTCTTCTCATTCAATACTCCAGAGCGTGGCTCTCAGAAAGCGCAGTTCTTTGGGAAAAGGGGAGGGGTGGTGGTGGTGGTGGTGGTAGGGGGCGGGGAATCTCCGGCCGGTGGGGCCGAGCTGCAAGTCTCAGGGAGGTAAACTAAGATTTAGGGCTGGGGTGATTTCCAGAGAGCCGCAGGAAGTTCCGTGTTGAGAAGTGATGGGCTGCTACAAAAGGCAAAAGACGAAGGCTTGAAAGGATTTAATTAACCGTGTCAGGGATAATTACCCCTGGACAGTCCAAATTAGTTTTGCATAATCGCTCAGAACCATATGAATTAACTTATAATATTGCAAAGAGCTCGGGGAATAACAGGAGAGGGATCGTTTTAATTAGTGAATCAGGGTCAAACCAGCAAAACCTATTTCTCACATTTCCAAAACTTTTCATGGTTTTTTAAAATATCATTCCATTGGGGGGAAAACAATGACTTTAAGGAGTTGGGTTGCTTATAAAGACGTGCAGCTCAAGAGATGGTCTCTGTCAGTGGGGAAGGAGTTTAAAACTAGTTGAGTGCTGTGTCCTGAGAATTTCTACTTGGTGAAATAAAGATCTCTCTTGATTAATTTTTTTCTCTGATATTCTTCCTGGTACCTTATAATCTCTTCTCCAAAATTAACAACCTTTGTGATTTCACACATTTTCCAGTGGAAACTTGTCTAGCTCTGGAAATGCAACCCTCTCCGTTAGAATGTGTTATACTTCCATTTAATACCATTAGCATGACAAAATAAAGCCCTAGGGAAGCCAGACGTTGTATGTTGTTGTTAGCTGTGATAATTCTTCCAAATAAAATCTTAAGGTGTACATAAGGTATATGCCAGAGATACGTGAACAAATTACACCGATTTAAGTGGCGGGGCTCTCCTACTAACAAGATAAAGTGGTCAGGCAACTTTCCCCTCTTCAAATGTTACTGGAAACTAGTGAAATGCTTTGAACGGTCTGGATGTTTTCAATGGGCTCTGTTCTACTGGTTCATGAATGCCCTTTTTTTTCCTCCCCCCCAAGATAATACAACTACTTGGGTTTTTAAATCTTCTTTCCTATTCACGATTAAAAATGTGATAAATCAGGTTTTTGGCTCTGAATAACAATGGCCTGATTTAGATTTCCTAGTAAATCTATTCAAAAGTGAAACAAAGGCTGCCTTTGGAGGATACCTTACACTTCACCTGGGCCAGGCACGTAAGGGCAATTCAGATAAAAATCTTGTTAGGAACTCAACAAGAAATAGAGGATTTTCTCTTTTCCCTGGTTCAGGCTTTATTTAAACTCTTTGTTCAAAAAAATGAACAGAGTGATAGTCGGATTCTAATTTACAGATATAGTTTAGATGTCTAATATTAAATTAGAAGATCACACAAGAAAACCATTTACACATAAAGGTTAAAACCAATACTTAAAACTTTTAAAAACTGTATATTACAATAAAGCCAAAATGAAACTAAATACATGTTAGCCAACTTCATTCACAAACATTAGTCAAAATATACATTTAGAAAGGAACACAAAAGCTATAATTGAGGAAGGCTCTTTTCTCTAAAATGTGTTTTATCATAAATTGCAAATGAATTGCAGATGATCTAAAATATAAGCTAATTAGGGAGGGAACTCCAAAACACATTTAAACGGTTCAAGTTGGTGGAGAAACGCTGGCTGACAAGGAGAGACATCTGTCAAAACAATTCTGTGGTTTTTTTTTTCCTTTAGTTTTGCTAAATAATAAATATATAATTACCATTCAGACAAAAAAAAAAGAGTCTGATTTAATCTTAGGTAACATTGTGATTCTAAAACCACAATTTTTAAAAGTTAACTTTGATACTTGCTCAAAATGCTTTAGAGCCTAAAATCGACTCAAATTTAGGGCAACGCAAATGAACACATTCGCAGACTTAATTTTTTCATGAATATGTACACATTTACAATCTCAGCCATAGGGGAAAATAGAAACAGGGCCTTTACATTGTCTAGAAGCTGTGTCAGAAATCCCAAGTGAGTGGACTCAGGGTGATTTCTACCTGTTTTGTTTTTATCTGAGGGGGAAGGTCCAATTGACAACTTTTCAATCTCACACATATTTCTTGTTTGCATTCCTTGCTCTTGAGAAAGAGCTCTTGCTCTGATTTGCATATGGCGTAAGAGACCGCGGATCATCTCCCAAACAAAAGGCCAGATTCGAGCTGGTCACTGGTCAAGAATGGATCTGGCCTGGGGTTTTTGCTTGAGAGAGCAGAGATTTGCAAAGTTCAAAATAGTACCATTAGGGAGCGAGATTGCTCAGAACCAAATTCCGTTCCAAAGAAACGAATAGCATCGATCTGGTTTTCCCTTGTGTCAGCCATTTCAGACCTAACATTTGAACAGTGTGCATGCAACACAGACCAGGAGTGAAAAGAAAAAAAAAAAAGATAATGAGAAACAAAAACAAAACCGACAATAAACGTCCAACCAACAAAACTGGAGGGCCCAACACGTGAAAAAGTTACTCCTCCACCAATAATGGGCCAAAACGCAACAGGTTCCGAAGTGCAAACCAAACTGCCAACTGCTGCCGGAATGAATACCACCGCCCGCTGTCAAGTTGGCTGCCCAAGTGCGGTCCTAAAATGATCCTGGGAATGCCCACGCGCACTCCGCGCCCCCCGACTGGCATCTCTGCCTCTGCCTGGCACCTATACATCTTCTGTACAAACAGCCCGAGGTCCCGCAGAGCTCGTACCTATACATATGTACATGTGTGCGCACCCCGAATCTCGCCAGGTGGCCCCGCGGGGGGTCATAGCGCGGCGGCGTAGGCCGCGGGGTAAGGGTCCAGCTGAGGCTTGCCCATGCCCGGCAGCAGGATGTAGGCGAGCGGCGGCTGCAGCCCGGGGCTGGGCCAGGCGCTGCAGTTGCACGGGATCATGTAGCCCGGGTTGCCCGGGCTGGGGTGCGAGTGCGTGTGCCCCCCGGCGGCCGCCGCGGCCGCTGCAGCCGCCGCCGCCGCCGCGCCGTGGAAGGCGCCCGCGCCCGCGGTCGGGTAGCCCAGCGACGACGCGTACGGGAGGCCGGACGACGACGACGAGATCTCTGCCATCTTGGAGCCCAGGTCGAGCAGGGAGTAGGGGCTGCCCGCGGCGGCGGCGGCGGCTGCGGCTGCTGCGGCGGCGGCCGATTGCGGGAAGAAGACGCGGGCGGCGGCGGCGGCGGCGGCGGCCGCCGCCTTCTCCGGGTTGGCGAGCAGCGACTCGGGCACCAGGCCGCCGCCGCCCGCGCCCGCGTGCAGCCCGGCGCCCGCCTTGAGCGCCGGGTGCTCGGCGTCGGCCACGCCGCCCCCGAGGCCGTAGGGCACGGGGAAGGCGAACTTGTCCTTCTTGAGCAGCGTCTTGGGCTTGCGCCGCGGCCGGTACTTGTAGTCGGGGTGCTCCTTCATGTGCATGGCGCGCAGGCGCTTCGCCTCGTCGATGAACGGCCGTTTCTCCGACTCCGTGAGCAGCTTCCACTCGGCGCCCAGGCGCTTGCTGATCTCCGAGTTGTGCATCTTGGGGTTCTCCTGGGCCATCTTGCGCCGCTGGGCCCGCGACCACACCATGAACGCGTTCATGGGCCGCTTGACGTGGTCCACCGGCTTGGCCATGCTCTCGCCGCCGGGCCGCGGCTGCAGCCCGCCGCCGCCCGGGCCGCCGCCCTGGGTCCGGAGGAGATCAATGCTGGCCGCCCGCGGGGACGCGCTCCCGCCCGGGAGGAGGGGGCCGGGGGGCCAGCCCAGGGCCGCGCCGCGTCTCAGGCCGCCCTGCCCGCTCCGGCGGAGCGATCGGGGGGAGAGGGGGGCACAACACTCTCCGGAGCAGGATAACTTTCAGGCGCACGGTGCCCCCACCCGACGGGGGCAGTTTGCTCTGTGCTTTCTGTGTGTCCTTCCTCTCCGCTGGCGTGTTCTTGCAAACTCCCCGCAGGTAGTCAGTCTCTGCCCGGCGGAGCTCAGCCTTTTCTCTCGGAAATGCACAGCCTCCCGGAAAGAAGTTGCGTCGCGGAGGTTCCGCCAAGTTGAGCCGAGAGAGATCGCCGATCGCTGCCAAGTGCCAAAGGGGGCTCTCGGCGGCTGGAGTGCTTGGGATCTCGGTGACTTTCTCATTTGACAGTAGCAGATGGGGGTGGGGGAGGAGGAGCAGAGGTGGCCCCGGAGGAGGGAGAGGAGGGGGAGGCGGAGGAGGGTCCGGGTGCAGCAATGGATATCAACCCCAGTACCGCAACAGCTCCAGCCAGTCTTCCTGACTCCGGGCAGGGCGAGCTGATGGAGTCCCCCAACTTCTCCCCCCTACCCCCCAAAAGGCTGGGTTTTGTGGAAGGGGGGCACTGGTCTGCGCCCCCGGCACCTGCCTCGCGGGTCTTCCTCTCCAGCGGCTGCGGGTCGGAGAAGGAGGTTGGATGTAGCTTGATCGAGGCTGGGGTCCCCGGGCCTCAGAGGAAACCCTCCGGAGTAGTCGAGGCGCCGCGTCTCACAACAGTACCGGGGGCCATGCCGGCTCCGCTAGCTCCGGGCCCCGCCGGGCGCGCCGGCCGAACTTGGGATCGGGGAGAAAGAGCGCCGAGCGAGGCAGGCGGCGCTGCCCCGGCCCCCGCCGCGTCCCCACCTCGCTCCTCCGGGTCTCCGCCGGGGTCTCCTCCGGGTCTCCGCCTGGGTCCCCGCCTGGTTCTCCGACTGGGTCTCCGCCGGGCACTTGCAACTAACTTCGCCCAAGTTCCCTGCGCCGGCGCGCTGGCCCCGCGGTGCGCTCCCGCCTGTGCGCCCCGACCCGGGGCCCCTCTTTCCGGGGTTCTCTGGCCAGAAGCCGGCGGGCGCGGAGCCGAGGTGCTGGAGGCGGGGATTTAAGGAAACCGCGCCGTCACCTCCGTTCGCAGATCCGCGCCGGGGCCGTTCCCGCTTCCCTGATTGCCGCGGCGCAGCGGGTCCCTTCTCGGCCCTTCCCGGCCTTTCCCGGCCGCGGCCGCCGCTCCGCCCCGCGGCTCCCGAGGCGGCGGGAGCGCCGCGCACCAGCTCAGGGGAGGGCGGCTACCTGCGTGCGCTCGCGCCCGGAGCCGGCGCTGGCTGTGCATGTCCGGCCGCGGCCCGGAGTGTGTATATTTGGGGGCATGTGGAGGAGGTGGAGCCCAGGACTCCGGGAGGGAGGAGGGACCAGAGGAGCCTCCTCCCGCTCCCTCACCCCCAGGACCTCGCATTAAACTGGATCCCTTTTGCCTCTCCCTCCTCCTCCTCCCTCCTCCTTACTCCTCCTCCCACCCCTTTTCGCTCACTTGGGAGTTGTGTTGGGCGAGTGGAGAGGAGAGCCGGGATGCACCGCGGAGTCTTCGAGCTGTTTGGCAGTTGGCCACCCCCGGAGTCATCCCTGCTACCCTAGCCCGCCGGAGCAGCACGGGGTAGGCTCTGGGAGCCTCTGCCCAGAGAAAGGAGGAGCTCACGGGGAGAGTCTCATGGAGGCACCCTAGAACATTTGGGAGACTTTTCCTAGCAAGAACGTGCTCGTTTGCCTTGGATGCTCAGATGTTACGTGGAACAGATGGTTCTCGCATTTTCTTGCACCGGTGATGCACGCAGTCAGAGGTAGAAATGTAAAAAATAACTGAGGAGGGACTGAGCATGCTCTTGGCAACCTTTTAGGCATTCTTGGCTGACTGCTCGTCTTTTAAAAAATTCTGGGTGTTTTATTTTGTGTAGATTCTGGTCGTCAGAGCCATCTATATGCTGATCTCTTTAAGGTACGGTTAGCTTACAGTATCTCACTTAAATGCAGAGTGTGGGTGAAGGCGTTCAAAATAAAAAGGAAATAGAGAATGTTTCTCTATAAAAGAAAAAAAAGTAAAACACGCCCATCTCGACATTCTGGGATATTTCTGTGTTGTTAAACACACTTTTCTTAAGAGCAGTTTTTTTTTTATAGTTGACATGATGCGAAAATCAAACAGCATGATTTTGTTTGCATATTTTTCTCACTTCTCGGTACACTGCAGCATGCTTATAACATGATCAGTCTGGGAGTTTCATTCATAAGTTGTCCTGCCCTTCAGGGAGAACTTGCTTGCCTTCTTTCTCTGGCAGTGTGGCTTTTACCTGGCCGTGTGGTGTGTGCCAGCCAGTGAGAAGTTCTGTAAGTGATTAACTCTTCCCGTCTTCCCTGTGATATATGTTCCACTCACACACAAACAAACACAGACCCGGAGCATTGATTGAAATGACGGACTTGAAGCTGTTCATTTTAGAGGTGGGCTTGTTTTATTGCTCATTGGTATACATAGAATGGAGGTTGTTGCTTTCATGTAGAAATGGAAATCAGCAGTGGAATGTGTAGGAGTCTATTTTTCTTAAGCTACCACATTTACAAATGATTACTTTGTATTAGCTATGCCCTTGTATTGCTACAACAATTGGGATGATTTCTCTAGAACCGTATTCCTCAACAGGCTCTCTAAAGACACTGTCATTCACAGACTCGGTGGAGCAACATTAAAACACTAGAAGGTGTAATTACACTGACTAGGATATTCAATATACTGTTTTGTGATGATAAACTACCAAATTATCCGCTCTGAGCTTGTAACCTACTAACTTGCAGAGTAGTTTTGAGACAAAATATGATCCACTGTCATACAAAGAACATGTGCATGGGGATGCAAGATATGAAACACTGTTAGTCACTAAACATTGTGAACACAGTCGAGTCTAATCATACAAATTATCTTGACATATACAAAAGGTAAGGATTGAGAAAAGATGTTTTATATTGGTTAGTTTAATGATAATATACTCCTTTCAAGTGTAAGTTAAAAAAATATATTGCAATGCATTATTACAATGGAAAGAAAGGTTTGTATATGTGATTGAAATGTATGCTTATCTGTGCAATATTGTATAAAAATAAAACACACATGCTTCCTTGGTAGTTTTGTAAATTGTGCAATGTCGCCTGTTTAATAATATTAAATAAACAACAATTTCAAAGTTCTTAAGTCCAAGAATGTTAACCTGTGCAAAACAGAGGTGCTTTTCATACCTAAAAAGAAAATGGCTGTTGGTCTGCTTGTTTGTCTGTTCACCAAATAAAATTGCACACATTTCAAAACAGAAGAGATTTGTTTTTTGATTTCAGTTTTTAGGGGATCAATATTCTTGGCCTAAACTCTTGCCAACCAAGGCAAGGTCCTCACAGGAAGCTGTGCATGAAAGGAAGGCAGCAGGCACTGCTGTTATGAACCAACCTCACGCCTCTTGCCTGAGTCTGGTTGAGCTTTCCACAAAGTAAGTTCCATGCCTTCTCTTTTTTATGTACCAAAATAGATTTCCACGCATTTTACGTTTGAATAAATGTAATATTATACTTCTGTTCTTATACATTTTTTTTTTTTTACCTAAAGGTGAAAAATACCAAGATATGGGAAAGAGAATACCCTGTGTGAGTGAATAGTAAAAGAAAAATAAATTGAAAGGGAACTATAAGTTTGTTGGGCTTTTTTTTTTTTGGCAACTCTTGATTGTGAGCTCCCACAGAAAAGTGTACCTTGATCAGTAGAATCTGCGTGGGTTCTGTATTTTCCTTGTGGCCTCAGTAATACACCTGTGCTCACAAATATATCCAATCAGAAACTGACAGAGACAATCTCAGAAAGAGTTTGTGAGTCTGTGCAAATTCAGTTTCTTCCACCCAATCCCCAAATCCTCCCCAGTCAATGGTCTTTTTTCAATTCTAAAACTTTCACTAGGAGGCAGCAATGAAGTTGTTGGGAATAAAAAAAAATGCCTTGGCAATACCAGTTTGACTGGCTTTCTCTTTCTTTCCCTCTTTCTCTTTTATAAAGGAGGGGAGGATATTTCATTTCCAAAGGAAGACAGGGGATCAGAGTGAAGGAAATCATTGTCCTCCAACCTCTCTGGCTCCACTTTCTCGCTGGATTTTCACCCAGATGGCTCACCATCATATTTTTCTGGAACCGTGGCGGTGGTAAGCCACATGGAAGGGACTAAGCAGCAAAGGTGATATCTTCAAAACGCGGAGGCTAAGTCATCACACCTGGAACACTGAGAGTAGGCAACTGTAGCTAGATAACTTTGGGGCTGTGGTCGTAAGCAAATACAATGAAAGAATTCATAAGCTTTCATACCTGAATGGAAAGGTAATACAGCCTGTTAGTCCTGTTAAGAAGGAAATGAGCAAACTGTGACAAAAGCCAACCTTAGGCTGTTGTCTCAGTTCTCTAGTTCTACTCCAGCTCCCAAGTTCTACTCTCATCAGCCACACTCCTATCAGCCACCCCCCCCCAACCCCCCACCCCAAGGGGAAAATCCCAACCCATGGTCCATGTAAAGCCAGAAGGAGGAAAAGAGGAGTTGAATCAGACAGTCATGGCAGGAGAAAACAGCTGCACAAGTGGCCTTTTACGGCTATATTTTCATCTTTATGAGATTTCTGTCCCTTTATTCTCACTGCTCTGGCCAATATAGTACTTGGAAACTGAGAGTTTCCAGATCAATTACAGAGACAACTTTTCTCATTCCTTTTTTTCGCAGTGATGTCTTCACACAGGCTAACAGTTTGAAAAGGAGCTTTACTTAGATGACAGAGCAAGAAAAACAAAGTAAAAAACTATATCTCACTCCCTCTCCTCTCCCCCCCACCAACACCCCCTGCCCCTTTGCCAAAGACACCTAAGTGGGAAAAAAGACAATACAGGTAATCCAAGACAGACAACTTCACAAAGTACTGATTCCAGATCCCAAGAATGCCATAAAAGCAACGGAGAGATTTATTTCTCCCGGGATGACTGCTTTTTTTTTTTTAAGTGGAAGGAAGCTAGCCTTGAGCAAACACAAAAATGAATGGGGAGGGTTGCACAGTCATCATATCATGTGGCCTGTGTAATGAAAAACCCTCCAATCCATAGTATTCAGATGAGACTGGGTTCTGGTGCAGTAAGGTTATTTGTACATTTCATCACTACATATGCTCTTTTTTGCTTTTGAGCAAGAACAAATGTGGAAGAGTGAGTACCCCTGTAGTATTCCAGCAGGGTGGTAAATAAGCAATGCTTCCAGCTTTACAGTGTCTGTCTGGCTGCTCTCCCTTTCAGCTTCCAGATTGCCCTCCCTTGTGCGCTCCTGCCACTCAGATTCAGCTTCTCTCTAAGGATGGGTCTGCTTTTGGACTCATTTGCTAAGCAGATTGATTGTTTTAGAGCCAACGTTTGAGTTCTTAAGATACCATATCTTTGACATATATTATCTTATTTAATTTTTAGGAAGACTCTGAGGTAAGAGTTACTCAACTTGCAATCAGGGAAATGAGCCTTGGAGCAGATGAATAAAGAACTTGCCCAAAGTCACAACCAAAAGTGGAAGACGTGGGATCTGAACCAAGCTGATGTTCTTCACCCTCTCCACTCTGTGTCCCTGTGGAAGGCTCAGCCCCTTCCTGGCTCAGATCCTCAATTCCGCCTACTTCCTCAAGCCTTCTGTGACTCACTCCATGCCCCACCCCTTCTCTGAGGGAGTGCCCAGTGGCAATCTCCCCAATAATGCGTTCCAAACCCACAACAACACCCCAATCACCAGAGATAGTCTCTCAAAAGTCCTGTTTTGGCTGCTCCACAGCCAGACTGCCCCAGCTCCAGGGGTTGTCAGCACAGATTTGGTCTCAGCTGCAATCCACTATGCCTCATGCTGTGGGCCTCCCACTGCAAACGCTGAACAATTGCCAGCCCTGGATGAACCCAGTTCCTACCCTGTCTCTGATAGCCAAGTGCTGCTAAAAGGAAATCTCATAACAATGATATCTAATCTCAGTCTTTGTATTCCCTCACCCCTAGTTGTCCATCCCACCTCTCCTTTCTTTCCTTCCCTCCTTCATTGATTTATTTCTACCTTTCTATTGTAAAACTCCAAGTACACAATGATTCATGATGCACTCTCTCAATTGCACCATCAATGGTCTATTTATTTATTTAATAATGTGACAAGTACCTATGAATCTACCACCCAAATAAAACCTGCTGAAAAGTGGGAATAGAGGGATCATACCTCAACATAATAAAAGTCTTATGTGACCAACCTCAATGGGCAAAAACTAAACTCATTTCCCCTGAGAATGGGAACAAGACAGAGGTGCCCACTTTCACTCCTGTTTGATATAGTATTAGAAGTGCTAGACATAGCAATCAGACAAGAAGAAGAAATAAAAGGTATCCAAATTGGAAAAAAAAAAGAAGTAAAAACTGTCCTTATTCACAAGTGACATGATACTATACATAGAAAACTCCAAAGACTCCATCAAAAGCTATTAGACTTAATAAATAAATTTGGCAATGTAGTAGGATACAAAATTAACACCCAGATATCTATGGCTTTTTTATCCCCATAGCTCCCCTCCACCCGGTTACCACCCCACCCCATGCTCCTACTCCCCCTCGTTCACCCCACTGTCCTCATCCATAGGTGTTTGATTTTTGTCCAGTCTCTTCCACACCCCCACACCCCTTTCCCCCGAGAATTGTCAGTCCACTCCCTTTCTAGGCTCTGATTCTATTATATTCACCAGCTTATTCTGTTAATCAGATTTTTAATTCACTTGATTTTTAGATTCACTTGTTGATAGATATGTATTTGTTGTTCTTTTTTTTTTTTTTTTTTTTTTTTTTTTTTTTTTTTTTTTTTTTACAGAGAGGAGGAGAGAGGGATAGAGAGCTAGAAATATCGATGAGAGAGAAACATTGACCAGCTGCCTCTTGCACACCCCCTACTGGGGATGTGCCTGCAACCAATGTACATGCCCTTGACCAGAATCGAACCTGGGACCTTTCAGTCTGCAGACAGATGCTCTACCACTGAGCCAAACCAGTTTAGGCTGTTGTTCATATTTTTTATTTTACTTCTTCTTCCACTTCTTACAGAATACCTTTCAGCATTTCATATAATACTAGTTTGGCAGTGATGAACTCTTTTTAGCTTTTTCTTATCTGTGAAGCTCTTTATCTTACCTTCATTTCTGAATGATAGCTTTGCTGGGTAGAGTCATCTTGGTTGTAGGTTCTTGCTATTCATCACCTTGAATATTTCTTGGCCTGCATATTTCTGTTGAGAAATCAGCTGACAATCATACGGGTGTTCCCTTGTAGGTAACTGTTTTTCTCTTGCTGCTTTTAAGATTCTCTCTTTGTCTTTTGCTCTTGGCATTTTAATTGTGATGTGTCTTGGTGTGGTCCTCTTTGGATTTCTCTTGTTTGGGGTTCCGTGTGCTTCCTGGACTTGTAAGTCTATTTCTTTCACCAGGTGGGGGAAGTTTTCAGTCATTATTTCTTCAAACAGGTTTTCATATCTTGCTCTCTCTCTTCTTCTGGCACCCCCATAATTCTTATGTTGGTGCATTTGAAGTTGTCCCAGAGATTCCTTACACTATCTTCATATTTTTTAATTCTCTTTTCTTTTTGCTTTCCTGGATGAGTGTTTTTTGCTTCTTTGTATTTCAAATCTTTGACTTATTCTTGGGATCCTCTAGTCTGCTGTTGGATCTCTGTATATTATTATTTGTTTCAGTCAGTTTATGCTTTATTTCTAGTTGGTCCTTTTTCATATCATGAAGGGTTTCGCTAAATTTATCGGCCTTATCTAGAAGATTTTTGAGTAACCTTATAACCGTGATTTTGAACTCTATATCCAATCATTTGCTTTCCTCCATTTCTTTCATTTGTGACCTGTTTCTTTGTCTCCACATTTTGGCTGCTTCCTGAGTTGATAAAGTGGCTTTGTGTGTTAGGTGTCCTATAGGGTCCAGTGGCTCAGCCTCTTCAATTACCTAAGGTGGACACTCTTGGTGCACCCCTTTTTAGGCTGTGTGCACAGTCTTGTTGTAGTTAAGTCTTGATTGTTGTTGGTATCACTGGGAGGAATTGACCCAGGCCAATTGGCTATGAGGATCAACTGTATCTATAATAGGAGAACTTCTGTGCTGAAGACACCCTTATGAGGCGAGACTTGTCTCAGTGGGGCTTTGGTGCTAACTGAGTCTGCCCCCTGAGTGTGTCCCTTATGGATCTGAGGAGTTGTAATCTGAATGGTCCTACTCTGACCCCTGGGTTCACTAGCTTTTGTATCTCCAAGGAGGTGCTAATTTAGCCTCTGCCAGAGGCCACCCAGCAGGAGCTACAGAGAGACCTACAGATTCTTCTTCTTTGTTTGGGTTTAGAGTTGCTATGAGGCCCAGCTGTGAAGCAATGCAAGCTTCTGTGGGGCCTTGGGCCTTCTTTTGAATGTTCTGGGTCTCTCTGACTCAGCTGCAGTTTGATAGATAAGTTTAGATTTAAAAGGACCAGGCCATTCATATGCAATGGATGGGGTGGAGTCTCAGGGTAGAGCAAACAGCAATGGCTTCCCATCAGCCCTGCCCCAAGAGGATCCCAGGCCTCAGTGTCTCATGGTAATTGTTGCAACCACCTCTGAGAGAAAACCTCCCTTGAGTTCCACCCGTTTCCAGACAGTCCAGTTTCTCCCCATGTGAGTGGGTCCCCAGAGTCTCACCAAGTACTGGAGTTCAGAGCAGTCAGGAGCTTGTGTCTCCCTCCTGATTGAAAAAGCCAGCCATGTATTCAGTTGCCAGCCCTCTCCATGTGCATGTCTCCGTACCTCTGCACTTTACTTCTGTAGCTTCTCTGCGGTCTCAGTGTGCTTTTCTCTTTCCTTCTAGTTGTAGAATTTCCACTCAGCCAGTCTTCCTGTGGTTCTGGATGATGTCCATTTTGTCTTTTAGTTGTAGTTATGAAGTGATTGTGTGAGGCGGCAAGTTCAGGTGTTTACCTATGCTGGCGTCTTGGTTTCTCCCAAATATTTTTTAAGACCCATTTAAATTAAGATTGCTATGAATATTTAGTTTGATTTGGGGGGAATTAACATCTTTACAATTTTAATACTTCTAATACATGAGCCTGGCATTCTTCCATTATATTGCTGATCTTTAGTTTCTTTGAGTAATATCTTATAGTTGTGTGGTAAAATTCTTATTCATTTATTATTCTTAGGATTTTAAAACTATTTTTGATACTATTATAAAGAGCATATTTTTAAGATAATATCTTTTAAATGATTTTATTTTTTGTTTGTTGCTGATATATAAGTACAATTTATTTATTTTTATTTTTATTTTTTAAAATATATATTTTATTGATTTTTTACAGAGAGGAAAGAGAAGGATAGAGAGTTAGAAACATGGATAAGAGAGAAACATTGATTTAGCTGCCTCTTACACCCCCCCCACTGGAGATGTGCCTGCAACCAAGGTACATGCCCTTGACCAGAATTGAACCTGGGACCCTTGAGTCCACAGGCCGACGCTCTATCCACTGAGCCAAACCGGTTAGGGCAGTACAATTTATTTTTCTATATTGATTTGTAAGTGGCAACCTTGTAAAATCATTTTAATTCAATTAATTTATTTATAGGTTTTTATGTTGTTTTGTTTTGTTTTTATTTTTTTGTTTGTCTTGTCACCTGAGGACATTTTTTCATTGATTACTAGAGAGAGTAGAAGGGAGGGGGAGAGACGGACACAGAGAGAAACACATTGATTGATTGTCTCCTGCATATGGCCCCACCAAGGCTAGGAATCGAGCCTGCAACCAACGAGGTACATGCCCTTGACCAGAATTGAACCCAGGACTCTTCAGTTCCAGAGCCAATACTCTATCCATTGAGTCAAACTGGCTTGGGATCTAGGTTTTTAAAGAATTTTCTACATACAAAATTATGTTATCTATGAATATTAAGTTTTCTTCCTTTATAATTGTAATATATTACATGTCTTTTTCTTGTCTTACTGGACTGTCTAGATTCTTCAGGTCATTGTTTAACAAAAATTATAATAGTGGCCATTTTTGCCTTTTTCCTTACCCATGTATGGCATAGTTGGGGAGGGGTTATGGTACTTTTTGCAGAGCTTTGGGCTTCTACAATAGTTCAGCCCTGGTTCCACTGCCCCTCAATGACTCACCTCCCACATTTCCCTGGAATTCTGCTTGGTTATGCTTTTCTTCATATGGTATATAGAGTTAGCTGATCCACCAAGCCATCCAGGTTTATCTCTAGAACAAGAATCCTATCCTGGTTGGGTCCCTGAACTCTGCACACTGGAGAAAAAGCTCCATTGGTACAAATTCTTCTACCTGCCATTCCTTTGTCAGCCTAGCAGAGGTTTTTGCCAAATATAGGGGTGACCTTGCCTGGTTATCATGTTAGATTATTTGCCCTGACCTGTTTTTATGCCATTATGCTATTTTCACCTTGCATCAGGAACCATAGCCTCTTCTGTCTGGCCCATTAGGGACTAAGTAATGGGGCCAGTTTTCCTGTTTCTTACTAGTACACCACCTACACGCAGGGTGACTGCTCAATCGAA